GGCCAAAGTAGACAAGAGGAAGTAAGGAGCTGGCCCTCGGAGGACAGAGAAAGTGGAAGGAAGAGAAGGAGGAGGAGGCGAAGAAAGTGCTAGAAATGATGGGAGAGGGGGAAAAAAAAGAAAGAAAGAAAGATGCTGGGGATAAAAGGGGTTAAAAAGAGTGATGGCATTTAGAGACGCAGAGAAGAGAGGAAGAGGAAAATCCCCAAATTACAAATGGGTCATGCCCTAGAAGTCTGTTTACCCTGTGTACACTTAAGCCCCAAACCCTGACTCCCCTGTCGACTAAGTTCCTAATGTGACCCCCAAATGGGACCAACTTGCACAGCCCAGATAGGGAGCCCTTTCTTAAATTTGGTACCTGTCGGCCTTGACCTAGTTTCTGACCCTGTCACAGAATCTCAGGGCACATTAGAATGTCCAGGAAATGTTTTAAAGGAGGTATGTCTGGGTCCCTGCTTAGACTAGTGTGATCAGAAGCTCTGGTAGAGAGATCTGCTCAGGCTTTAAAAGCAAACCCAGAGGATTAATGTACGGCCAGGGTCCAAAGTCACTAATAAGCTTCCATTGCAGTGATCAGCTCTATGAGGGGTATAGTGGGCTTTCTGCCCTCATGAATAATGTTGTTTCTGGGGGAAAATATGTTTAGGTTTTAGCTCCAGATGTCGGGCACAATCCAGTCCCCACACCCTGTGTCCCTCCCACCCACATACTGCAATGCTTATGCAGCCAGAGGAGGTTGGGGACTAAGACGCTGGCCAAGCTCTCCCCTCCTGGGTCCCCAAGGAAGACCCACCTTTTCCCAGCCTGGCAAGGACCATCATTTTCATGTAAGGGAAACTTGAGTGTTTGCAAGTCAGGGAGATCTTATTTGAGTTTAGTTAAAGCCAAAAGACAGGAGAAGTATGTCAACAATAAATAACACAGGAATAGGGGCTGTAGAAGCCATGGCAGAACCTTTGAGTTAATAAATAAAGAAGACACATGCCTGGAAATGACGCTGAAATGCGGTTTAACAATTCCATACCGGGAAATTGGCTATGCCAAGATGTTAGGGAAACTGGTTTTTTAAAAAAAACTGTATTAACTTGTGTTAGAGCTGCCAGACATAACGAGATCCTACCAATCAAACAGCCATTTCTCCTGGGGAAAAAGAGAAAAAAAGAACTCAAGCACAAAATGTCTGGGAAACTTTGCAACCTGTGGAGCCGGAGAAAGGATTCACACAAACCCCCATGGTCCTCACCCACCACCCACGTGGCAGCGACCGAAGGATTAGGTCCCTGTCCCACTTCCTGCGGATCCCTTGGAGATATGCACATGGGGAGCAGGATGCTGCTTGTGAACAACACCCAGGGAGACAGTTGGCAGCAGCACAAAGCTTCGTGAGATCCTTAAAGCCAACAAGACAGAACGGAACAGGCCAGAGGGTACAGCCCAAACCCTACCGTTTCTCCACCTCTTCCAGCAGCACACAATATAAAGTCAATCAAATAACCAAACTACACCAGCCACAGCCCTGGGAAGATTATGTAAATGAAGCTGGTGTCTCATGGCAAAGGAGGCCCTGAAGAATCTCCATCCAGCAAGCAAGGGACAGCAGGGCTGCTATGCCTGCCTGCACAGGACTGAATGGCAATTCATCTTGCTGGGGAGTTGCTTCTACTGCGAGGGTGGCCGTTCCACCAGGCACAGCCAGGGCGGGCGATCACTACAGCCTCCCTCTCTTACTCTAATTAAGAACAGAACAGTTCACTGTTACGCCTGAATTATCTCAATTTCTTTGTGAGTCAGGCAGGCTCCACAGTTACCAGGACTGGAGAACTTCTCATGTCATCTTAGAATGAGGGACTCTAGCAGGGACACAGGAGGGACAGGGAAGATAGAAGCCCAGTCTGGGAACATGCCCCAGAATACAGGATAATTATAGAAACCGTTTGGGCAAAAGCAGCAGTTCCAGGAATCTGGTCTTCTTTGCCCTCAACAGCATGGGGTATTGCTCATTATGGTAACTCCACCATTTTGTTCAGATTTTACAGCTTCTGCAGCATCCTCATCCATCTAACTCACAGTTTCTACCTTCTTACAGTTCAGTTCCTCATAGCCTCTCTCTACTTGTCCCCTCTTTGTAGGCCTCTTAGCTTCTATGCAACTCCAGAATCTGGCATTCAAAAAGTGGCAACAAGACAAAGTGCCTTATTGGTTCTGTTAAGTACTACTCTGCCTGGAGCTTTCTTAATGGACAGAAATCTCACTGCAGCCTCCTGCTGAGTCCCTTTGAGTCAAGCACTAGCCTCTGGTCCAAACTTCCAAGGCTAAGGTAGAACAGGGAACACTGTGGAAAGCACAACAAGCACCCAAAAGGAATCCCCTGTGGCATTGTTCAGAAGGAATCTAGGAACAGGCAAAGCACCTCTTCCAGGACAGCCTCAGCCTTTCTTGCTCTGTTGCTTGGCTTCCTTTTCACAGACTTAAGAAGCGAGTTCTCCTGAACATATTAAAGCCAGCATGGGCAAAGCATGCACAGGAAAGCAACACATTGCTATCAGGGAGAGAAGTCAAACAGTTTCCCAGTGCCAGATATCAATGATCCTAGATTCGCATAGTGGAAAATTGAAAACTATTATGATGAGGTTGAATCAGGTGCAAAAAGAATAGGATCCTCAGGATTAATAGCTCACAGCTATGCAGTGCTGGCTGAGTTAGTTAGGCTCTGACCCAGAGTTAAGCAATCAACGAATATTACCCACTATCCCCTCATAATGCTCTGATGTGGCTATGATACAGTAAGGCAAACCTGCTTCTTGGCTGACCCCAAAGTACACCTAACCCCTTCTCCCTTAATCACTGTTACAGAAGCTTAAAAAAAATTTTGCCAACTTCCCTTGCAGATGAGGGGTCTTGTGACCTCCTTTTGGCTAATGAAATAGAAGGGGGAGTCAACTGGAAGTTTTTTCTTTTCAGAGAAAAGAAAAAACCAGCTCCTGAACAAACATGTGCATACACTTCTTTTTATGTATATGTGGGGCTGCAGATTAAACCCAGGGGTGCTCTGCCACTGAGCTATAGCCTCAACCCTTTTACTATTTTTGTTTGGGAACAAGATCTAAGTTTCCCAGGCAAATTTGTGATCCTCCTGCCTCAGCCTCCTGAGCAGCTGGGATTATAGATATGCACCACCATGCAAAGTCTTTTTTCTTTTTTTTTTTTTTGATCCTGTTACCTCTCACTTCCACCCCCTGCTTCCTACTGAGAATGAAGATTTATTATCTGGAACCATCGTAGCCAGCTTGTAATGTGAGGCGAGAACTATGAAGATGAAATTAAAGATGGTGAAGTTGTCAAACAGAGCCTGAGTCCCTAAAAAAAATCTATTGAGCAGCTGAATCAATACCTGCTACACAGCCAAAAATGATACAAGGATTGTTGTTACTATCCCTATCTTATAGGGAGAAGAAAATGGAAACCTAGAGTGGGAAAGCTAAGCAACTAGTCTAAGACTCCTCATCTATGAAAGGGCTTAGTCAACTCAAAACCAAGCCCGCTGATTCCAAAGATCTAACCAACATAATATATTCCTCTGCAGCCAAGAGAAATCTTAGAATTGAAAATTCTGTGTTTTGAAGGTCCCCTGTACTCCTTTCAATGAAGAGATAAGGCCTACAGTGGTTAAGTGTTGGGCCCAAGCCTATTGGCTTCATCCTCCTGAGGCACTAGGGTGGAATCCTGACACCCACTCGGTGTTACCCTATGCTTCCTCTCCTGAGAAAAACAAGAGGCTATAAATCCAGCATAGTACCTTGGTGGCTTTTATATTGCCTTAGCTAAGGATTTGTCATCTTGACTCATTTTGGACCTCTGACACCACAGAAACCAAGACAGAAGTAGACGATGGTATTGCATGTCGGAAAGTTATCATGCCGACCACATTACACTCCAATGTATTTAAACCATATTAAGCCAAGATATGTTATACCATAAAATGTTACCTGAGAAGGAACATTATTAGTGGCTTTTGTAATATTCACTCTAGGAGCCTGCAGCACAATACCCAGAGGGAGAACAGTGTTGCATTTGTAAAGCAATGGCAGACGCCATCCCTGAGGCAATTTCTATTATTACACTGCTCAAAAAAAAAAATAAATAAATAAATAAAACCAAACCAAACAAAACTCTCCAATTTCCTAAAGATCATAATAAAACCAAGAGGTCTTCTTACACACAAATTTGCCACCTTTCCAAAGTGCGTTGGCCATGATGGAGACTTTGGTTTTGAAAACCCAACTCTTAAGAGTCTTTTTCTCCAACACTCTGGCTCCTTTTCAAGCATCTCTTAACTTTCCCCAAAAGCTGCCATCATCCTGTGATTGATGCATTTCTGGAGATTCCACTGAACTTGTCTGTTCACATTATCCAGCTGTTCAGTGCCTGTGGTTTTCACTAATGGTCGTTACATTTGATCATTCCCTCCTTGCCCCTAAACTTTCTGGCAGTACTCAAGAAATATGTAGAATGCAACTGATTCTGAGAGCCTTACAAGTTTAGCAAAGTTTAGGACAGGGAAAGGTCTTGCATTTGCAATAATATGAGATTCAGGAAGAAATCAGAAGACTCGTTGGTTCATTTATTCCACCAATAAATGTTGAGTGCCCATTGTGTACAAACTCTCTGCTCAGCACTCTAGATGCATTATCTCACTGAACAATGCCCAAGATACATTAGGTAAGCACTACTGCTATATGCATTCTTTTTGACTGGAAAATTAAAATCTAACAAGAAGAGCTTAGCCAGGGTAAAATGAGATACGGGGACTTAACGAAGCTAGAAAGGGAGGTAGCAGGTAGCACACATACACTCCCACACAAAGAAGAATGTATTAAGTGGGTAAGACAGCTTTCAGAGTGCAAAAAAAGAAGAGATTACATTCAGTCCCCATGGCGATGTTTGTGTTTAGTGGAGTTCTAGAAGACAGGTAAGACTGCAGCAAAAAGAGACAGAGAGATCCCAGCACAGTAAAGGAATGGCATCAGTGAAAGGGAAGAAAATACAGAACATATTTGGAAATAGAGAATAATCCAGTGTAGTAAGAGCAGAAAGTACAGGGGCAGAGTCAAGGTGTTAAGACTGGAAGGCAGGTGAGATCCAGGTCATGAGATTCCTAGAATACTCATCTGAAGCTGGGCCTTATCAGAATCACAAAGAGGAGTCACTGAGGAGCTTCCTGGAGCCAGGAACTCTCACAAGGCTGTCCTTAAGAGAAGTACATCACACAGGAAAATGAAGGATGAGAAAGAGGGGAGAGGCAGACGGCTGGGAGCCCAGAAGCCCAGCAATCACACAGGACTGTGGCAGATAGTGAAGAGTCTGACCAGGTGGGAGTAGAGCAGATGGCGGGGAAACCACACAGGCAAGACATGTGGCTAAAGACCCAGCAGTTGATAAGTGGGGGATAAGGTAATGATTCTGACGCTGACGGTACCAGTAACACATTCAGGCCAAGTTCAGTGTCTGAAAGTGAATGGCTGAACAAAAGAAAGTACAGTGGGAGGAATTTTCAGGTTAAAATAGTCCCTGGCTAACAATCTTTCCTGGTAGCCCACTAAATAGACACAGAACGACAGCATTTTAAACAATGACAATGAAAACTCACACAATTGCCAAAACGAGGAAAGAATTTCCACCAGCTCCAAGATGGTTAAAAGTGGCTTCAAAGAAGCAGAGAGTAGCTAAGTTACAGCTGCTCTCAGGAAGCAGAGAAGCCTACGCCTGGTAGAGTATGGTGGCCCCTGTTCCTTCCCTGCTGTCTCCCCAGGTCAGCGCCAAACAGGAAGCTCTGCTGTGGGAGGGTTTCTTTTCAAGAGCCAGAGTAAAACACTAATCACCTGTTCTCCACCCTGTCCCCTCCCACGAGCCCTGACCTACCCTCATTTGTATTGTGTCTGTGGACTGAGAGCAGTGAGAAGCAAGTTAAAGGAGTCTAGCAGGATGCTCTGTATCTATATAAACAAGAAAACCAGCTGTGAGAAATCTAACAGCAGAGCATGCTGGGGTTGTTAATTTCCACCAACTCCCTCAGTTCGGAGTGTTGGAGAACCAGGCAGCAGGGGGGATCTTCCTTTAGTACAGCAGAGCCTCAGCAAACATGGAATCCAAGGGGTACATGTCTAATCTAAGGATTGGTCATCAATGAACTAAATGGAGGGCTTACGAAAAGGGAGCCAAGCTCAGGAGAAAGGGGCTGAGATCCTAAAGATCAAGAAGAGGAACACACCTTTGAAAATGACTATCCAAAAAAGAGAAGATGTTATACAAAAGTTGGCACTGAGGGCAGGGAATTTGAGGGAGAGAGAAGAAGCAGCAAACAAAAAAAAAGGAGGAATGTCACTTTTTAAGGCAAACAAAGATGATGTCTGTATAGGAAGAAGAAAAGAAATTCAATTTGCAAATGATAGGTATTAGCAACGACAGGACTCAGCACAGCAGGACAGATGGAATTTGGAAGCCATAGCTGAAAACTTCTCTTATATGAAATGTGCTGAATTTCACTGTCTCTACAATTGCTTTTAAACATTCAGAGACTTTTTATAAATAGTAAAGAAGATTCTATATGTCATGATCTTGGCTTCAATACTTGCACATGATAAAGGCTAGGTAACATCATTGTCATTGATTATTGTCCTATAAATAACTCTACAAATTAATAAGCATTTCTTTACATAATGCTCTTTTCTGCCCATGAAGTGCTAACCATATTATCTATGCAATTCACCTGCATTCGAAAAATAGTAAATGTTCTAAAGAAATTTTCACTATAAATTGCTGGCATTGTCAATTCCTGCATTGTCTTTTATCCACAATCTCCAAGCAAACATGCAGGGTTTTCTCCATAGGAATTCTGTGATAGAGTGTGTTGACGTGCCATGTAAATCTCCTGATTTATTTTGGCTTATGGTTTAAGAGATTTCTGTCCATGGTCACCTGTCCCCATTGCTTTGGGCCTGTGGCAAGGCAGAATATCAGGTGGGTGTACCTGGTGGAACAAAGCTGTTCGCCTCATGGCAGCTGGAAAATAAGGACAGGAAATCAGGGGCTGGGGTCCCTGTATCCCCTGTAAGAGCGTGTCCCCAGCCACCCAATTGCCTCCAATTAGGTTCTGCCCCCTAAAGGTGCCATCAAGAGCTGGGAACCACACCTTCCCACACATGAACATTTGCAGAGTACTTTGAGATCCAAATCATCACAGAACTTAGTAAAATTCTTGTTCTTGTCTTTAGGATGTATCAGTTCAAAATCATAGAAAGCTCCTGGGGATTTCAAATGTTGGGAAAAGAAATTGAAGTAAACACAAGTATGTTTTTGAAAAGAATACACCATAAATACGTCAAAATAGAAAGTATTTTGTGGAAGAAAGAGAAAACCTGCTTTTGTGTTGTTTCACAAAGAAACTAGAATCAAAAGATTTTGAGAACCACAAACTCATCAATTAGAGGTTCCTTGCAAAGCAGTGAGCCTCCCGTTGCTAACATTAAACAGCAAGGAAATGGTCCCTTGTTTGGAATCAGAAGAAAAAAACAATAGAGAAAATTTCTACGTTACATTTGAACCAAGCCAAAAGGCTATAATCTTTAAGACAAAGTAACAGTAATTTTTGTTCCAAACTGAGCACTTCTGAGAGAAAAGAGGCATTATTAATCATTACTTTGAGACATCCTAGCATCCTGGCTTAGCTAGAATGTATGTTCATCCTATTCTGGGGTCTATTCCAACTCATCAACACTAACAAAAATCCTACATTCATACACCTTATGTATTTAATCCATATTCCAAGAGCTAAACTCTTCCAACACCTATGTTTGAATGACTTCATGGTTTATTGTAATGGTCGGACATTCTGGTGTGTAACAACCTTTCCTTGAATAGCTGAGCAGGACCAGGGGAGGAGGACAAATGCTGAATTCCACAATAATTGGCCTTTGGAGAAAAGAGAGAAGTGAACACAGTTAATTGGAAGCCTATAAGGCATATGGCACTGGCAACCCCAGAATTACTTTGCGCTGTAGTTAGCATACCTAGATGATTACTACTTGGATGTTTCAGTGCTTCCTAAGCATAGCTGGAATGTGTGGCTATGATTTGTTTTCCAGCTGGAAATGTTACAGAAGCAGGAAGATTTCTGATTTTGTGTGTCTTGTTGCATCCTGCCTCTGCTTGGCAGAAGCTCTGGTCCTACAGTCATGTCCATCACTGTAGACATTCATGGTCCTGGACTCTTCCAAGTATCTTTATTGACCTTATCAAAAGTACCACTGGGCTCAGGTATCATGTTCCTGTAACTTCCCATTGGGAATGCATATAAGTGTTTTGTGCTAGAAAGTAAGACAGGAATCAGTTAGTTACCAATATAGGGGCACTAATTTCATTCATGAGATAATCATGACCTAATCACTTTTATCTTTTACACTACAGCAGTTCTCCCTTTATCTATGGTTTTACTTCCTGCAATTTTAGTTGCCTGTGCTCAACCATGGCCCAAATATACTTAATGGAAAATTCCATCGGTAAATAATTCATAAATTTTATTCCATAAGTTTTAAGTTGTGCACCATTATGAGTAACATTATGATATCTTGCAATGCCCTGCTCTATCCTTCTCAGGACATGAATCATCCATTTGTTCAGTGTATACATGCTGTATACACTACCCACCAACATCATCTTGGCTTGGCAATGCAGGATCATCCAAAGCAGATGATGTTCCTTCTGACATATTGTCAGAAGCTCAATAGTACCTTAATGGTATGTCACAATGCCTACATCTTCTCCTCACTTCATCTCATCACACAGGCATGATATCATCTGGTAGCATCACACTAAGGGGAAGTACATATAATGATGTATTTTGAAACAAGCACAGATCACATTCACATAACTATTATTTCAGTAATTTTCATAATTGACTATTTTATTACTAGTTGTTTTAATCTCTTTGCCTAATTTTTCATATAAATAAACTAATTTTTTCATAGGTATTCATATAATATAGGAAAAAGATATGTACAGGGTTTAGTACTATCGATGGTTTCAGGCATCCACTGAGAGTCTTGGAACACATCCTCCCTCAGATGAGGGGGATGCACTATATTGCATTGAGGACTAAGTTTCAACATGAATTTTGGAAGGAAACAAATATTCAAACCCGAGCAAGGGGAGAGTAAAGGAGAAGCCTCTAAAACAGGAATTGAATAGAGCTATAGCCAAGTAATGTCTAGTAAGTAATTTTGCTCAAAGCTTGGGAAACAAAAGAAACATTCTTTAAAGAGATAAGCTCTTTCTAGAGACATTTGTATGTCACTTCATGAATGATTAACTTAAATTGCAAAGAAAAAGTATATATTCTAGAACGTTTTTATTAAACTCTGGCAATTGAGCAAGAAGAAAAAACAAACTGCAGTTTATTAAAAAAAAAAAAATCAGTGATGATCACTTTGACTCTTTACACCTTCAAGAAAGCCAGCAGCACTTCCTTTTCCTTGGTTGTATCATCAAATCCAGCATCAATTTCCTCACTATGTAGAGAAAAAAATCTGTTAGAACAGATCAGCAAAATTGATATGTGCCACAAAATTGATATGTGTTAAGTCAGCCTCATTTCTAAGCCTATCAGCCAACAAAACAGCAACGCCAAAAGTTCTTAAAAGAAACCCAAACTTCTATTTGAGGAGTAATGCCCATCCCCAAACACCTTCCCAGGGGCTGAGTGAATAAGGAGGAGAAAATTACAGTAACTGAGCAGCTTTTCTATACTGCATCAGAAAAGGCATGTTCGTGCTAAAAAGTAGTAATGCACTTCTCAGGTGCCTGGAAGCACAGATTCAAGTAACTGGAAACAGTTGAGTACCTCTGGAACCTGAGTGCACTGGCAGACTGGTGAGGATTCAGAAACAGAGTGTGCGCAGGTCCTTTCTAGAAAAGGCTCTGGGTTATCCAGAGTCTCCAGCAGGCCAGGTAGAAGTAACCAGTCAAGGCAGATGCTATCTGCAGCCACAAACTGAAGAACAACCTAGTGTCAACTGAAGACAGCACAATAGTGACCTGAACCACGGATGGTACCCTCTTCATGAAGGACACCAAGAAGGGATAGTGGGATTCTGGTACAATGAAGATTGTACTGAGAGTCAGGAGACTCTAAGTCCCTATTCTGCCACCAACTTGCTTTGTGTCCCTAGACAAGTTACTTTTCTCTTAATTTTTATACCCGCATCAATAAAACAATGATACCTTCCATTCTGGCTCCAATGAGCTCTTGCACACAGGAGTTTTGAGTAAAATGATATCTATGAAAATTATGTGGAAACCAGAAAGTAAAATTTACTTGTAAGGTATTAAAAATCCAACAAAAGTCAGTTTTGTATAATAAAAAGTAAACTAAATAACAGTGTCATATACCCAAAGTGGGAAAACAGAAAATCCTTGCTAATGTTTCTAGACTTAAGAGCTTCAAATCAGTAAATTTTTTTTCTATGCAATGCCTATCACCATGAAAAGAAACTGCCAATTTGCCTTGAAAACAACCCTGTCTATTTCTTGAAAACTCAGGCAATGTGTCTGGATTGATGATTTGATTCCCATCCCTACCTTCTCTCTCCAATACTATAAACAGAAGTGGGTGAGTAAAACTTCTGGAAAATGAACAGATAGAAATGCCAGATTCTGTTAGTAGCTACCACCCTCTCTCTTCCATCTCCCCTCCCACAATCATAGAGACTTCTGTTACTTGCATGACGTTTTCCTGTAACCATCAACATTTTTACTCATTTTACCCCCACTTTTGTAATTGAGTAGTGAAAAAAAATTATAAACACTCATGCCTCTATGGCTCCAAAAAAATTAGCAGTTACATAAAGACATGGAGGCAGCATGTATTTAAGCATAACCAGGGGGATGGTGGTAGAAAGTCATAACCCCCACAGGAATTTGCTGAAGAATATGTGGGCTCTGCTGCTCTGAATACCAGCCACTCTAAGTTATCCATTTGTTGGCAGAATTTTTCACTAAGTCCATGGCACAAATATCTTAGGCCTATAAGTTTCCCAAGATTCTCTCTTTAGATTTTATCATCCACCTACAAAATCGAGAATCATATCACATACAAATAGGCTTTGGAAATTTGAAACTAACCAATATCGTTTTTCAAAAGCTCTCAAAAAAATAAATGGATTGTGCAGGAAAATGTTGTAAATGGAAAATGTTGCATATACAGAGTCTGAAGCAATCCAGGACATTTTAAACCAGAAAGCAGATGGAATAGAGGCAATATAAATTAGTGTCACTGCATTTTGCCAACTATAAAGTGACTCCAACTCCAAACAAAATTTCTTCTCTCCAACTTGTTGATTGCATGTGTATTTGTTTTTAATTTACACTGGGTAGAATTTGGTGAGACGTTTGGCGTTAGAATCAGTATCCAAAGGTCTAGGGGACATCATCTCTGGCCAAACCACCCACAGAGTACCAAACTAAGGAAACAAGCACATAAAATACATAAAGTTAGTTATGTTAAAAAAATAATATTCATGTATATGTAATATAAGTCAATCAACAAAAGTTATTTATGTGTCAATGTTTAAAGAATGTTCTGAAAATAGAAAGTATATTGAGTGCTAAATAGCAAAGTTTCACCAACAGTCCTTCTAACCTTGACCCTTTCAACTTGACCTCCATCCTATTTCTCAGCTACCTTGGCAACTTCCCAGTGGAAGAATCTTAGCTTTTGGTTGTCGGAGTCAGATTTTAAATTTTTTTTTAGCATTTTTTTTTTTAGTTGTAGATGGACACAATTTATTTATTTATTTATTTTTATGTGATGCCGAGGATCAAACCCAGTGCTTCATCTGCCCGTACGAGGCAAGCACTCTACCACTGAGCTACAGCCCCAGCCTAGACAGATTTTAATCCTGACTCAAATCAAGGTGGCCTAGAAACTAATCTCAGGGATTGTGCTACAGTCAGCCCACACAAATTACTCCCAATCCATGGACCATTGAGATTTCTGTTTGGGCAAGAAATTTTGCTCAATATCCTAAGTTCTGACTGACTCAGGTTTTCAAAGTCCACGTCTTCAATGACAAGCCACTTTCGAGTCTGGGCGATGATAATGGTACGAGGATTCCTCTGTGACTGCAGCCTGTCCTCCTAACCACATAAATATAGGGTAGCACAAAACTGTATATCCAGGATAACATGGAACACAGGTGTTTACTGAATTCTTGCATATTTTATATGCAAGACCCCTATAATCTTTCCTCTCTGCAACAAAGACTTCTTCTTACCCCCTGCCCAGTTTCAGATCTTACGACAGATGCCACTATCAGGTAGAAAGTCTCAGAAAGAACTCAGCATCTGGAATATGTTAATTTTGCATGAAAGTAGAGGATGAGGGCAGAAATTATAAAGAGACTGTAGCCTCGAGGCATCTGCTCATTACAGCATTTTGACATATATTCATGCAACAGCATGAAGCAGATTAGGTGAGGAGGGGGGGCAGAGATCTATAGGAATGCCAGGGAAGAGGCTTTCCACTCCATCCTCAAGAGAGCAAGCAACATCGACATGGAAAGAGACAAATCAAAGAGATGAAACTGACTTCACTGGCTCAGATGTGGAAGAGCCCACATGCTGGTATCACAAGGGAGGGAAAAGGGATTAGAATTCCCAGTTCCTATGAAGCAAAGCTTTAGCCTTCATTCATCCCTATTGAGCACTGGGAAATGATATAAGGAGTATGTTTTTGGAATCCCAGGAATGGAGAATAGGAAGACAGTACCTGTAACAAGATAAAACCACATGCAAGCACTCAGTCTGGGCCAAGTCAGTGCAAAGATGTGGGTTTGTTTCCATTCATAAGCCAAAATAAATAATATACTTAGACCATATATGAATCACATTGAGAATTCATGCTCAATACACCAGCCTGGTTTGTCCTGCTGGTCTCAAAACACAACCAATCTCTCAGTTGCTGCTTCTAGAAAGGGGTGGGCAGTCTACCATGAAAACTTTCAAGCAGCTGGGCAGCTCAGATAGCTTCTCCCTCTGAGATTATTCTCACCATAATTTGTACACATAGTTTAAAAAATGAGGCTGAAGCAGAAGAATCATCTTAACCCATGAATTTGACACTGTCCTGGGCCATATAGCAAGACCGTGTCTCAAGGGGGAAAAAAAGTGGTAGAGGTAATTACCATCCTAGAGATAAGTAGTTCAAACTACAGGGACTAAATCCAATGTTAAAGATTATAAATTACAAAATTGCATTTCCTGCAAAGTTCTGGAGGAGAAAAGTAGGAGGGACTGTAGAACACAAACATAACAACATTCACATACCTCAGAGGAAGGCTGGGCGAAATAGCTAATAAAAATAATTACAAATCACTTCACACACCTAAAGTTCTTTGTAATAAACACTAATACTTTAATCCCACACTGCTTATTTTTTAGACTTTAAGTAAGAGTGAAGCTGAAAGAGCAAAAGAAGCAAACTTCATATTCTGTTTTCCAGTTTTAAGCAAAGACAAGAAGAAAGAAAGAAAGGAAGAAACCCCAAGAAGTCCATTTTTAAATTTCTGCTTATGTAACAGGAGCCTGTGAACTGCACAGAATTTAATTGAAGGAAAAGTAACTGTAGGGGAATTGCTTGGAGAGCTGCCAGAAGGGTTTTAACAGCTGGAAGTTGAAAAGTGATTAATTTTGACAGCAATAAAAGCCTCATGTTCATACATAATTATGCTTAGATTTGTGGGCTGCTGGAATTTTTTTTCAATATACTATTAACCTTTTGCTGTCCAAATTGGAATTTGGGCACTCTAAATGAGGCCTGATTTTTAAATTGGATAATAATTGGTTTTCAGTGGATTTGACTCATCTCAAGGCAAAGAAGAGTTTGGGGGATAGAATGACATGCAGGTTGCAGAGAGGCTCACATTTGCTTCTGGATATCTTTGAAACTTCATCAAAATGAAGCCATCTCGTTTTTACCCCATGCAGGAATAACAACATCAACAAAGGCAATCAGAGCAAATAGAGAAAGATATGCAAGTACTGGTGTGCTTTCAACTATACAATTAAGCTAAATTCCTAGCAATAGGAAATAGAGACAAACTAAGATAATGTTATAATGCTACATTCAAAAATACTGAGCAGATTAAGGAAGCATTGAATTAGACTGAATTCTAGAACTGGCAGGGTAGCTAATTAGCTGAAAAACTTGGACAAGTCACTGAATTCCTCCATGACTTCTCTATTCTGTGCACAAGAAGAAAGGACTGAAGGAGATAATTTAGATGATTCTGTAAACTAATCGTTTTGAATCATTTGCTTTAGGATGAGTCATATTCTGAAAGTTTTCTCTCTTGATCACTTTTGTTATCTTTGTATCAATCAGTTTGACCAATTGAATTAAACTTTGGTAATATACAATATTTCTTAAATAATTGGAAATGATACTTAATGATAGTTTTTTGTTTAATAATAGCAGCTTATAAGGCATTATTTTAGGAAATATATATGTCAATTCTCAACCATCCCATGAGGTAGGATTTTATCCTATTATTATTATTAATCCCATTTTACACAAACTCAAAAAAAACAGGGATTGCATGACTTTTCAAAGTCAGTAGACTTCAAGTAGGAAAATAAAGATTGTGGGGGTTCTAATGTACTATTGTTTCTAAGTTAATATGTATTATTGTCTATGCAGGCGATTTGCATCACGGAAGGTAGAATAGAAAGATCAAGGTACTTGAACTCAAAAGGACTAAATTTAGCCTTGGCTCTTCCATTTTCTCACTATCACCTTGGACAATCCTCCAAATGCCCCATTCTACTTTCTTTACTTGTAAAGCACAGGAGTCTTCTAAATCATCAGTTCTCAAGCTGTGGTTGGTACCTGGACCAGTAGCATTAATATCACATTGGAACTTGTTAGTAATACAAATTCTTGAGCTCAATCCAATTAAGTTCTTAATTCTTGGATGGGTCCCAGACTCACTGAATTGTAATTTCTGGGCATGGGACCCAGTAATCTGTGTTTTGACAAGTCCTCCAGGTGAAATGCTAAAGTTTGAGAATTGTTGGTCAAAGTGATCATTAAATTAGCTCTGACTCTCATATTCTGTGATTCCATCTATGACTGTCTGGTTTCAGATTGCTCACTTCAAACCAGTGTGGTTTTGCTATATATAAATTCTTCCCTGAGTCATCCTAATAGAGGACAGGATACCTAAAGTTGGCTGGCTGGAATAATTGTTTCCTTAGTCATCATCATTATGGAATTAGGAAGCAGGAAGGTATCACCAATCTAAGTAGAACATGAATGTTCTGAAGGAAAAGTGTAAGACTGAGTTTCACAGTTGGGGCCTCAATATAATTTGAGTTCTTAATCCAATGGGGCTTACTAAATCCCTGTTTCCCCCCACCAAGGCAAATTACATCCAAACTGTGATTAGCAGCTAGAGGATTTCGCCTCTATTTGCACTGTGCCCACAACTGTGCCCAAATCAGGCCTACCTATCTCCTCCGAGTCAAGAGGGAGACAATCTCAGATGGAATGTTGGCTTTACCTCTTCATTTAACATTGAATGGTGTTACTTACCATTGGGTTACTTATCAAACAACCACAACTCCCTTGAAGGCAGAAATCTGGACACCGCAACATAAACAATTCCAAGGGTATTAATGAACACCAAATTTTAAAAAGGGTCTTGCCTTATTGTCTTCCAGTAATTACCTTCATCAGTAATGGCAGAGGAAGACTTCTGAGTTTCCCAGTCAAACATGATATGAATGTCCAATGCCTCCAGAAATCCTTTGTAAAAGCAGGTAACTTCGCACCCTGAAGTACAAGGATATAAACAGCAGAATAGCAAAGACTTGTGTCTCTGGTTAATTTGTATTTCTCATAATATCTCATTAAAATAAACTATCACTTGTTGACATATTTTCTTCAAAAGACACAATGAGACTAAACTAAGGCATAAATGCAAAGTCTTTAGTTACAACAATTTCTATTTTTTAAAAAAAGAGAAACTTAGGAAGGAATAAATAAAAAATATTGAGAGGAAAAATGGCCACATAAACATAAACTTGTTTAGGGCTTTGGTTATTAGCAGGTAGGGTCCCATTCATATGAAATAACTCTACTCTTTTGTTTTATGTAAGTGGAAAATCATCAACATTTATTCTAAACCAGTTCAGAGACTAACAGTTTTACATTTGGCCATAATACATACGAGAAAGGCTGAAATTTTTTTACACCATTTCTTAGCCCAAGTTAACTTAATATGATGTATTTACAGATATTGTGCATTCTTTTATTAAAATGGATCTGGGCACAACTTCCAACTCTTAGACACCTGTGTACCATAATGACCCATAGGGAAGCTGAGTTGACATTTTGGGATGTCCTCTGGACTACAGTGCACAATCTATAAACTAGATACTATTAATATCTTCATGTGATAGGTACAGAAACAGAGGAACAGAGAGGCTAACACAGTCAGTCACAAAAGCAACTGTAGACGTAGAAAAGTTTAGATTTAAACCCAGGCAGTCTGTCTCCGGAGTGTGTGCTCCAGAATGGTCAAGTCACTCTGTTTTATTTATTCCATGAATTACTAAGAAATACTCTGGGTGTCAGGTAACAGAAAACCTATCTGAGAGTGGCTTTAAAAAATTAGAAATTATTTTTATTTTGATTTTTTTTAGTTGTAGAATAATTGTGGAGGTAAGCACTGGAGTTGCTCCCAATGCCTTTGGGAAGTCAGGTCCTCCCCATTTTGCTGTTCATCATCTTAACACTGTCAGGCTTATCATCTCATGTCCCTCCTCCACTTACCACCTCCCAATTCCAGGGAGAAAGAATGGGTAGGAGAAAAATGCTTTCTCTGGAGAAAACTTGTCTTTTCCATTTGGGAAACTAAGATTGCCTCAATAGACTACTCCTACATGTCACTAGCCAGGACAGAAGTACATATCCACTCTTCAACTAACCAAAGGCCAAGTGTTATGGTTTGTATATGAGGTGTCCCTCACAAGGCTCCTCTGTCAATGCAGGACTGTTCAAAGGTAGAGAGATTCAAGATGGCAGATTAGAAAATGACTGAAACTAGGAGTTGCTGTGTGAGTCAGAATTCAAGCAGTAGGAATAGTGATTCTTAGTGAGGTGAGTGGAAAAGGGGTTTCACTAAAATTCAATACTGGACAATCAGAGCATGTTAGAGACTCAGAAATTTGGGTACATTGAACAAAGAAGAAAATGCACATTGAAGCTGAGATGGCTGTGGCAGTAACAATGGCACCGTTTCACCATAAAGTGGAGGGATTACAATAGAGAGAAATACAATGGCCAGATTTGGTACAGAAAAAAAAATTTGGTACAAATTTTTGTCACAAAAATTTGGTACAGAGATAAGAAAAGAAGGCTGCACTTAGCTGATCGAGAGTCTATATAGCGAACTGCTGTTTGAAAAGTGCTGTTTCTCAACTAATCATGGAGAGTGGAGGCAGCAGCCATCTTGATGTGGTCACACTGCAGCTCTGTGGAGCTGGGAAATCATACTGCCATACTGTCCTAGCAAGTGCCAAACATGTGGCCTATGGTGTATCTTTCAGAATGTAAGTGAAATGGGCAAAGAGAAGATTGTGTTCAAGGGGATTCAAGTCAGAAAGGTGAAGGGTTGTCCAAATGGGTTTTCCTTTGTGTTGACTCACGTGTCCAGCTGAAGTAGGTCAGGAATCTAAACAGGAAGATGTGAATACACTCAAGGACTAAGCCTAGGAAGGCTGTGTCAGTGGGTAGCAGAGTTGGTGGAGGATTGACTTCTCTGCTCTGAGAGTAGAATTCTTGAGAGGCTTCTAAGAGATTAGGACTCCTGACAGAAATCAGCAACTGCAGGTTCTAGGGTTGTGTTGATCTAATCTCTCCAGAGCAGATACCACCCAGAAAATCCCCCAAGACCTGATAGACCTAACCTCCAGAAGCCAAAACTCCTTCCATTGAACTCTACAGCAGCCCCACCCTGGGAGCCCATTGATCTGGCCTATGCAGACAGAGCTCCGAGTGATAATACTTCTCATTCCATCCTACCTTGTACTGGTCAGAAGGGAAGCTCAGAGCTCTTTCAATCAGCTTCAGTCTTAGGCCACTGCAGCTGACAGCTCAGTAAGCAACACAAAAAGAGGAAAGGGTTAACAGCCCCCAGTCCTTACTTGTTCGCTCTCTCTTGGTACGCAGCCAAGAAGAAAATGAAAGGATAGGCAGTGAACATCCATTTTAAGTGACTATTTTGACCACCTCAGTAAAGATGATTTTTTTTCAATTTTTATTAAGAATCTTCTTATTTATTTATTTATTTTTATAGTTATTGTACTAATTGATTCATGGACATATATACACATACATATTTGGAGTTTTTTCTCATTTTTAGCATCTTTTTTAAAATATAGTTACTTTTCTTTTGAGGGTTAGGGTTTGGGGTTTGTTATTTTTTTTGTTTTGTTTTGTTTTCATTTGTTTCTCTTGTTTCTATTTTTCTATTTTCTTCTCCTGCTAACATTTAAATTATCTTGTTCTCTCTTTCTCTCTCCTTTTGTTCTCCTCTTTTGTCTCCTCCTTCCTTATAACCTTATAAACTGCTATCTGAACTCTGTTTACTTTTTGAAATTGTAAACTCTCCTCTACATTCCTATCACATTTTCTTTTCTCTTAATGAACTGTATTTTTGCCACTTTTTAGAACTAATTAGTTTATATGACTCCTGCCCTCACCATTTATGCTGTTGCAATTATTATTGATGTAGATGCATAGTTGACAACTGTTGTTTGCTTTAAATGCCAGATCAAGTTCATGGTTACTTATTGTTTTTGCTGTTAGCAATTGCTGATTCCACCATTTCTGTTTTTTGTGGTAATATTGTAGATGTTATAGTAGGAATCAGATATTTATTTTAATGCTGTATAATCTTTGCATTTGTGGTGGCTATTGTTTGTTTTTCCCTATTATGTGAGGTGCTGAGAACCTACAGGTACACTAGAAGTTCACAGGGTAGAGACTCTTCTGCTGAGCTAAACTCAACCAAAAGACAGCACATCTTGCTCCACACACAAATTAGCAACACTCAAACATCAGCTACACTTTAGTACAAAGAACAAAGGACACAAAAACCCAAACTAACAACCAGGCCCAAGTAGACACTACACAGGTCCCATTCACAGACAACCACTGCCACAGCAAAAGCAGAAAGAAACAATGCAAAGGGTGTGAATAGCATCCACTGGGGCGGAGGCCTCAATTTAGATCATTCTAGGACACTTTGGCAAGTGATGGCTGTGCCCTAAAAAGGCCCACACATAGTTGTGGAAGAGATATCCATTGCAACAGATGCATAAAACCCAACACAGGAGTACAAGAAATATGAAAAAACAAGGTAACATGACACCTCCAGCAACAGACCCAAAAATATTGAAGTGGATGAAATACCAGATAAAAAATTCAAAAAGAATGATTATAAAAATTATCAATGAATTCCAAGAGAACACAGAAAAACAACTGAATAAATTAAGGAAGTCAGTACAGGATATGAGTGAGAAATTCAATAAGGCGAGAGGGACATTGAAAAAGAACCAAACAGAAATCTTGGAAATGAAGATACAATAAGTCAAATAAATTATTCAGTTAAAAATCTCTCTAATAGAGTATACCATGCTGAAGACTGAATATCAGAACTGGAAGACAAAGTGTCCAGCCTTGAATATTTAAACAGTATTAAAGAAAAGAAAATAAGTAACAATGACCAGAATATACAAGAACTCCGGGACAACATTGAGACCAAATTTAAGAATTCTATGAGTTGAGAAGGTTTGTGAGATGCAGACTAATGGAATGATGGAATGAATGACCTCTTCAAGCAATAATAACAGAAATTTTCCAAGCCTTGAAAAAGAGATGGACATAGAGATACATGAAGCATTTATAACCCCCAAATAGACAAGAACAAAAAAGGACATCTTCATGACACATTATAATCAAAATGCCTAAGATAAAAACAATAAGAATAGAATTTTGAAAATCTCAAGAAAAAAAAACATCAGGTCATCTTTCGAGGTAAGTCAATCAGAATTAATTCCAGTTTCTCAGCAAAAACTCTAAAAGCAGAAAGGTTTTGACTGATGTGTTCCAAGTCCTAAAGGAAAATATCTGTATCTTTCAAAATTGAAGAGAAAACAAAAACCTTCCAAGATAGGCAGAAACTAAATAAATTCATGACTACTAAGCTGGCACTATAAAACTTACTTAAAGAAATACTCTGGACAGAACAAATTAAAAATAAACCCCAGAGCTCACAACAGAATAAATCTCATTTGAAGAGTAACTAAGCAAATGAGAAATAGGACCAAATTAAACATCATCAATAAATCAAAATGGCAGAAATTGTAAATATGTCTCTATAAAGATATTGGATGTAAATGGTCTGAATTCTCTAATTAAAAGATATAGGCTGGCAGATGAATTTAAAAAAAAAAAAAAAACAAAAAAAAAACAAGATCCAAACAAGGCACAATGCTGCACAATTATAATATCAGAGGCTCAGGAAACTGAGGCAGAAGGATATCAAATTCAAAAGCCAGTCTTAGAAATTTAATGAGCCCTAAGCAATTTAGTGAGACCCTATCTTAAAAATAAAAAATAAAAAATACAGAAAAAGCCTGGAGATATGGCTCAGTGGCTAAGCAACCATGGGTTCAATCTCTGGTGCAAAAAAAAATAAAATTCCAACTATATGTTATTTGCAAGAGATTCATCCTACAAGCAAAGACTACAGGCTGAAAGTGAAA